AAGATTCATCGATCAAGTCGTCAGAGGTTTGACAGGAGTTCACGCATATATCGACGATTTATTAGTAGCTAGCACCACTAAAGATGAGCATATACAACAACTACGGCAATTATTTACGCGACTCAGAGAACATGGCATTTCTATAAACATTGAGAAGTGTGAATTCGGAAAAGAGTCTTTACAGTTTTTAGGTCACAATATAACTTCTCAAGGCATCACACCAGTAGCAACAGAAGTCGACGCCATTAGGAATTATCCTCTACCCGACTCATGGAAAAAGTTACGCAGATTTCTCGGGTTAATAAATTATTACAGACGATTTATCCCGAATTGTGCGTCAATATTGCAACCATTAACAGATGCGTTACGCGGACACGCACGGACATTCCAATTATCACCAGACGCGATTCAAGCATTCGAGCACGCTAAAAAAGCACTAAATAAAGAAGTGACACTAACTAGACGAAAGAGCGAAACACCGTTAGCTATCATGACGGATGCATCAGACGTAGCGGTAGGAGCCGTTTTACAACAATTAGTAAATGGCATATGGGAACCGCTCTCATTTTTTTCGAAAAGACTGAATCCGACACAAACAAGATATAGTACTTTCGGAAGAGAACTCTTAGCAATCTACTTAGCAATAAAACACTTCCGTCATATGGTCGAAGGCATAAATTTTACCGTCTATACAGACCACAAACCACTAACGAAAGCGTTAAGTGCAAAGCAAGACAATTATTCCCCGAGAGAGATCCGACAATTAGAGTTCATTTCACAGTTCACGTCCGACATACAGTACGTTAAAGGACAAGAAAACGATGTGGCTGACGCATTGTCAAGAGCAACGATAAGCACACTTATGGCAAGTGGAATTGATTATAACGGTCTGGCAAAGTTGCAGGAGAGAGACATCGAACTAAATAAACTCAGATCCGGTGGCACAACATCATTAGTACTCGAAGAGGTGCGGTTTGGTAACACGAAAGTAATTTGCGATACATCAACAGGCCGACCGCGACCATTTATCCCGAAAACGTTGCGACACAAAATATTCGAAAGCATGCACAACATGTCGCACCCAGGAATAAAAGCCACGATAAAGCTGATTAGTGAACGATTCGTATGGACAAACATGAATCACGATGTACGTAATTGGACACAGGCATGCATGAAGTGCCAAAAAGTTAAGGTACATCGTCATACTAGCTCTGCAGTGGGTCCGTTTTCGCACCCAGACACTAGATTTGAACATATACACATCGATATTGTAGGACCACTGCCCGTTTCAAATGGATACAACTATATCTTTACATGCATCGACAGGTTTACACGATGGCCGGTAGCAGTACCGATAAAAGACACCTCAGCTGAAACGGTAGCCAAAACCCTAGTTGAAAATTGGATTTCTTACTACGGTGTACCAACGATTATCACAACTGATAGAGGAGCACAATTCGAAAGTCGACTCTTTCAGCAGCTTACAGAACTTCTCGGTATTAAACGAATCCGAACGACATCGTACCATCCAATGGCAAACGGAATGGTCGAACGCCTACATAGGCAATTAAAAGCGTCCCTTACAGCCGTCATCGTTAACAACGATTGGTCTAATAAACTTCCCCTAGTAATGTTAGCTCTAAGAGCAACAATTAAACAAGACATGGGATGTTGTCCAGCCGAGTTAGTTTACGGAACTACTCTACGATTACCCGGAGAATTTTTCACTTCAAGTAAAAGTGTCCCGACTGATGTAACCGGCTATGTGCAACGCCTGAGAAAGCACATGAGCGATTTAAAAATAACACCTCCCAGACCACAACAACGACGAGTATTCATACCACAGGAACTACATAGCAGCACTCACGTATTCATTAGAAGAGATAAAGTACAACCACCTCTTCAACCGAGTTACGACGGCCCATTTAAAGTGATAGAGAGGACAAATAAAACGGTTACCATAGAAAAAGCTGGGAAGACAGATGTAATTAGCATCGATCGAGTAAAGCCAGCTTTCATCGATAGCGATAATCAATCAACAAGTACAGACTCATCTAAGATGGTCACACCAGCGAAACACGAGTCCCAAAAATCAACGACGTTAACGCAACAAAAAGACAAGACTCCGATAACAACAAGATCCGGCCGCAGAGTAAGATGGCCCCAACAATATGTTGCTACGATTTTTTATTAATGATCTACTATTTTAAATATTAATTATAACTTCTACCTCATTGTATACACATGCATTATTAAGCTCATGTTATACGCTATAAAACTCAACGTATCTTATGTACCCTTACACTTATGCGTATAATTTTTGTTTAAAATGTAAAGACAATACCGCATTCCTTCTATTTCTTGCTATTATTTTATGTAACCTCACGGACGGGCACAAACCAAATGTACAGCACACACTAACTTCATCTTAATTTTGTATAAGCCATTTTTTCAAACAATTGAACTACCCTATTCAGTCTACTATTTTTTGGTGCAAACACAGACATTTTCCATATATCTTTGTTTGCAGGGGGGAGCTATTATAGCGACTCACGTGCAAATGGGTTTATTCTCATTTAACTCAGTTAAGCCCTTTTGCTAACTTATTTAGCGGACAAAGCCATCCGTACTATAACAATTTATTGTACCCTTATTATTTTGTGCTTGCATGAAATACGCATGCTTGAATATTGATTACTGCCTACGCATTTATTCACTCTGCTAGTCTTACTACTAACCGCTTATTCGATTCGATTACCCATTCATTTCACATGGTATATATATGTCCATGTTATTCATATTGAACACTCACTCGCTTACTTACTCATTCGCTCACGCGCTCTCATCACGCTCTTGCTCTGGCCATCGCTCGCTTGCTTGCCTTTCGGCACAACTCTTCTATGCTTATTTAACGCATTTGTACATTTGGATATATGTGTGTGGTCTCGCAATAAACGTAATCAACACTTCGTATTTGCCTTCTGATTATTATACCGTTGGGGCGTTATACAGAACGGTTAGCAAGACGAATTGTATACGAAGTTAAGGATTATATCGGATACCGACCACCACAACTTAACCGTACATACCCTGGACAGTCCCGAAGAAGAAGAGGAAGCATAGTCATTAGTGTATAGGCCGGGATATTCAACGTTTACCAAGACAAAAGAAGAAACACGTGTATAATTAAAATTCGGGAAGCTCAAAGAAAATATGAAATGCATTTGGCACAGTTTGCACTCAAGCAGCCTAAGAGAATATTCTTGTACATAAATTACAGAACAAGGATGCATCATTGGATTACCGACTTATTAAAGAAGGAAGTGAGTCTGAAAAGAGAGAGGAAGATCAGGTAAAAGCAGAGGCCTTGGCTAACTTTTTTCGATAGTTTTCACACGGGAACCTCTTCTAGACGAAGAAATAGACCTAAATACGGAGTCAACAAGCCGCCCGCTCACCGTGGAATTTCATCAAGACGATGTACTTAAAACTCGAAGATGCCGCAGGTATTCGGAGTTCGACAACGCCTAACCAGTAACATCTAATATGAATCGTACCCACTAAGTGAAATCAAAAGACAGATACGAGGAGGTTCGAATATATATTTGATAGGCTCTCAATATATCGTGGATCGACTGATCTAATCTGGCTAGCAATTACAGGGGATGTTGAGCACGGCGTTCCCATTCGTGATCTGGTGCGGATGCATGACCGAGGGCCCTCAGCTAGGTGAGCCTAATAAAAATAATGTGGTCAGCATCCAACGTCGAAGACTTACGGAGCTAGTTATTTTGGGGATTTATTTACCGCTACAGGCTCTTAGCACCTTATACATGGAAAAGTCAACAGGACCGGATAAACTACGCCACAAAATCTTGAGACATATTGCACAATACATCGCAACCCCACTCACCGTGATTTTCAATGTGTCACTTGACCGAGGTGTGTTACCTATGAACTGGAAGGATGCGATCGTCACTCCCATACATAAAACAGGACCAAGACAACTTCCACCGAACTACAGACCTGTCAGCCTCACCAGTGTTGTGATTAAAATACTGGAAAGAACAGTCAAACAGACCATAATGACATTTGTTAAACAATGAACAACATGGTTTCAGGAAAGATTAGTCTTACACAACAAAACTCCTTATAGCAAGGGACTATTGGATAAAGGCGCTGGACAACAGAAACTCAGTGGACGTTGTCTACACAGACCTCAGTAGGGCATTTGACAAGGTGCCAACAAATAGAATGCTATTGAGGCTAGAAAGTCTTAGTACCTCTCTTAAAACGGTTTAAGGATTTCCTAGTAGGTTGTACCCGTGATCTGGTCTCAAAAGGATTTTGAGGTGACAGTGAGTTGTGGTTTTAAGACCACGGCCCATTGCCGGAAGATTGCAGCTAAGGGGTTTATAACCCTATGGGCTTTAAGACGGACATTCGCCAAGTAAAATATTACCATGTTCCACCATGTTTCCATACTAGGGTAAGACGCCGTCCAGTGCTTCCAGGTTTTCTATGGTGGTCTAGCTTCAATTGACTCATGATTCCAATCAGTGAAATTTCTTAAATCTTCACAAAACCCCTTCTGATAATAATCATCTGTTCACTAGTGACTGACTTCAAGAGATACTTCAAGAGTTCCAGTGAGAAGCCGTTACCAGTGGAGTTCAACCAGGTCTGTTGTGACATATCAACTCACTGAAGACAATGGTGTACGGTGGCGCAACTTCGTGGATTGGTTGAAGTTAGACATTAACACCGTTCGATGCCGGCCAATTCAGTGGTCTAGTTGGTTAAGCGCTTGGTGCGAGACTGATAGGTCCTGGGTTCTAATCTCGCGGGGTGTGGAATCATGGATGCTCACTGCTGAGGAGTCGCATACTAGGATGAACCGGCCGTCCAGTGCTCCCAGGTTTTCCATGGTGGTCTAGCTTCAATTGACTCATGATTTCAATCAGTGAAAATCTGTTTGTAAAAGTTTGTTAATTTAGGCAGCGCATTTTACAAAAGTTGTTGCTATAATTTGAGGATGGCCCAATGGATGGTTGGCAAGTCAATCTCGAAAGACCAGTTAAATCGTTTGCTTGAACATAAGTACCACTGTGAAGGAGAAAGCATATGTGACAACTTACTTAAGGACTTTTGGCGGATATCTTCCCTGTATATACCGAGATATATTGCTCCAAATACTCTCACATTACTTGGTTTTCTCGCCAATGTATTTGCTTTATGCTTGCTTCTGTCTTATGGGGTATGCGAATGTATCAATCACATTTTTTAAGGCCTGTTTCTTCACCTCGTTGGTGTTTGTAGTGTGTGTATTCGCGTATCAAACTTTAGATGCCTTAGATGGCCTACAAGCTCGCCGTACAGGTTCGTGCTCTCAGCTTGGTGAACTGTTCGATCATGGTTGTGATGCTTTATCCACATGTAATTCTATCTATACGGTCTAACAGCTTAGGCATCCTCCCCATCAGTTATTTCATCATCATTGGTTTTGATGACTGGCCTATGTTGATGTTCATACAATACTTCTGCATCCAAGCTTTATTTTATGTAGCCCATTGGCGGTGTTACGTCACGGGAGTTCTTGCATTTGACCGGTAAGTAGGCATAATTTTAGAGTTTTGCAGAGTCGGAGTGACAGAGGGACTTTTAATTGGAATTTTATTTGGGACGATATCTTCAATATTCGGTTCATCTATTTGGAGTATAAAAGTGAGTTTTGTTTACTATCCTTAGTAAACCCACCTTTTACTCACAAAGAATCTTATTTTATATTTTCCAAAACTGATTTAGTCGGACTTTGTCCTGTTAGAACCTATTACGTAGTTGTTTCGCGAGAATTTTTGACAGCGCTAAAAACACTGGTGTTTACGTATAAGTACAAAAAGATTGCAGGAAAAGTAGTCTCTATAGATTTCAAAAGTGAGAATACGGTGAACGAAAACCAATGTCAGTATAATTGATCTCTGATATTTAGATTTCATGGTAATAATTATTCCGTCAAGATGACTTCCTCTTATTTTCATTTCACTAATGCTAGTTTTGTTACATTTGGAAGATTTTGTAAATTATCCTTTTGAGCTATGGGAAAGGATCGTTAATAAAAATTCTAGTTGTTTGTGGAAAGCACTGTTTCCACTACAAACCAGTACGGTTGGAAGTACGAATTCGCCTTTCAACCTTAGATTTATCGCTTTTGATCTTACCGTTACCCCTGGTGAAATTTCAAGGAATGTTCCAGCCAATATAACTTAACGGTTATTACAATGAACAAGGTCAAATCCTGCTTCAAAATAATTGCAGTTACGACCAGGTTGTTTGCCGTCCATCTAAAGTCGGTTCAACCAATGTTTTTTTCCACGTTAATGCTAGCAAGTTAAGGTTCTTGCGAAGCGTAATCATTTAATGTAACACCGGTATCCAAATAATCTTTACATAAAAAGCTCTGTTAATTACTTGTCTTCTCAACATAAATGTAAAGCTCTTTACGTGGTTGGTGTTAGACTACCGTATGAGGCTGATCCTACCAATCCTTTTTAAGACAATTTCCCTTGAATAATTGCTTTTCAAATGTGTACATTTCTCACATATGAATATTTCATAGAGTATTGATAAACTAGATAATCATGAGCATGAATTTTCGGAAGTCGGGGAGGGATTGGTTTTTATTGCTTCTGGTTAGCGGAATATGTACTCTGCATTTAGAAAATATTAGTTCGAGTTAAAGGATCAAGTAATACATTGTTCTATATTAGGAACATTGATACCCAGTTGCATCATTATATATTAAATAAGTAGATACGGGACTTGTACATAACTAGCTGTGTAATTCATTTATTTCAAATCTCAACACATCCACAGTGTTAGACTGTTTTTTATCAACCTGGATCTCGGAGACTCAACATGGGTGTAGTTCATGATTAAGGGCATGAACTTTTAGTTTCTTAGATGGTATATCGTTATTAAAAGTTATATGCTGTTGTCCTCAGACAGTTAGTCATCTACAACGTAGGACCAGGCACATATGCATCAGTCCAAGTTACCATACCTCACTCGCACAAGATGAACACTAAATTCATAAAGGCAGTTATTCCAATGGTAGTAATATATAAAGATTGCATATGAGGATATGATACGGGGAGGAAGAATTATTTCGTAGAAACAAACGTATGGACTAGTTTTAATCTCTTGGTTTAAGGGAAGATGAAGAGTGTATACACCGACGCCATTGTGATCGATACCGAGCCATGCCATTCACAGTCTCCAACTATTGGTTTCGACAGTGATGAGGACCCCAACCAAGTAGTCTGCATATACCAACATGGCTCGGACTAGAAGTTAGTGACTCCAAGAACTGATGTCACATTTTGGTTTGGCCACCCTAACTTTCTTCTATCCGGCGGTGGTCTGTTAATGTTCTCATACTTAATCCGTCTAAACGTCAAGCTATTAACTTTAGCCTGAGGCATGAACAGCACTTAAACACCATTTTGGGATCCCATAGTGCTTGTGCCGTTGGAGACTCTTTGATAAACACTGTCGGAAGTCAATTATCTTGGTGTTACCTTTTCCCCTGATCGCTCTTGGTCTTATGTTTTATTGTTATCAAAGAAACTTTTTCGTCTGACTTACTACATGAAGAGGCTGCATGCTCTTGCGATTACTCGTCATTTACTCCTACAATTTTTCAATTCCTGCATATTACCTATTATTCTTTACTGTTCACTATTCTTTCTCGGGTTTTTGAGAAAAGACTACCGTATCGCGGAGAGTGCTGAAAGTAGTTAGCACGGTACTATCTGATCAGATACTAACTATCCCCTTCATTCATATCTTTCTCCTTGTATATCTTCTGGTAGAACGAGACGTCAATATATTAGAATCCATGCACGCAAGCAAACGTATAAAAGTTCTATAATACCTTACCTAGCAAATATACTCTTTGACGAACAGGTTGTTATGATTGGCTTAGTCAATTACCTGTATCCTTAAACATGTCTCTAATTGAAAATTTGTACAGACCCAGATCTTTTTTCACCTTTTTCTTTCTGTTGTTTTTGTTTTTGTAAAAGAAACTCGTTAAAATACCTCGTGCTGAGAATTTTATATTGTACCAAAATATAATATTGAATAAAACCAATAATAATAATCAATTCCTGAAAATCCAGTCGATGAGAACGTTATTTTCAGCAGTAGGTCTGTGATGAAATTAAACAAAAATGGAGATAGTGAATGGCCTTGCCGGATATCATTTGAGGTTGCAATATCAGATGACAGCTCGCCATAAGCTCTGATTCGACTGATAATGTTCGAGTGATTACGACCAGTCAGATGGGAGTACGTCCAATTCCCAGATTTTAGCTAAATCATTAGTCAACTTAGTCACTAAAACTGAACCACCATCATTAAAGACTTCTAGATCAGCTGCTTTTTCTTGTTTTAGATTAGATATAACTTTTCGAAGTGATTGTGATTACGGTGGCCTTAATTGCTACTACAAGTATAAGGTCAGTTATCACTTCCCGGATGCTTACATCATGGAAGGATTCTTCTATAGGTATCTGAAAAGGAAATTGGGTTAGAGTTGGTCTTAGTGACCTGAGGGCGTGACCGCATTGTCCAAGGGACAACTGCTCGAGGCCGCTCACGCAGATCTTTTTGTGAGTAGCTCCGTATTTGTTGGGACCTTACCACCGGAGACGGAAATCCGTGGGATAAGGCGAGCTGTGCATTTTTGGGGTGGACGTTTTCTAACAACACTCTTCCTTTGTGTGAAGGTAGCATCCCTGTTATGTTGGTTGTCGGAGGAAAACACCTTACTGCTGTCAATTCTCTGTACGGTCTGCAGTACGACTTCGCCCTCGGACCTTACGTTTGCTGCTTTTAGTCCTGCCACTCTTCAACCGACCTGCCTGACATGGCAGAACATTGGGTAACGATTGTTTCAGTAAGTATAGCTCGATTGGTTCACTACGATAGGCAAACCACCACGTCAAGGTAGCAGCAACGGTCAATCTCTAGCTCCCAGTATACTTTTTTTAGAGTCATTTTCTTGTCAAGGTTGTATAGAAATTTGGTAAGATTATCTTATCTCTTCTAACTTTCCGTATTGTGTTTTGTTTTGGTAATATTTGATTTCTTTTTGTCACTTATCATGAATGTTTTGTTATGCTGCAATCTTTGTGTAGGATCCACTTCTCGGTTTGGAACTCAAGGTTGTTCAGTTCCTCGTGTTCTCTGTTGTCATGTTTTTTCTGGCGGTTCAGTTCGCTGATACCATTTCTCAAGGTGGTTGTGGTAAATACGGGACAACTGTTGCTGTGAGTTGATCTCAAAGTTTGAAATTTTGCGTTTAGAAATACAGCCAGTATGTATTTTAGCTAGGGACACTTCACATAATCACTTTTAAAAATGAACGGAGGATTAAGGATTCTTTAAAGAGTATGTTCTGGTTTCCAATATGTTACTGAAAGTTTAGGGAAAATAGAATCTCTGTTTTATTTCTTTCGTTCTGTACTATTTTATGGAACTAACTACCATAGAATAAGTATAGCTCAAAGTTGTATACGGAAACCCTTACTTGGTTACTTGTTATTTATTATTATTTATTTGAACATATAAATATTGTTACAAGGGGGCACCAAATATACATGCGCCACACAAAACAATGAGAATGGGAAGAGAAAAAAAGAACAATAACGGCGAGATTAGTGTAAGGTGGTGTAAAATAATAATAATAATAATAATAATAATAATAATAATGGGGGAAACGGAAAGGTACAACCAGAAGAAATCTTTCAGTTAAGGAAGATACAACCACCTTTTATGAAGAAGGTAAAAGAAGGTTACAGCAGGATCGCCACTGGCTTCTACTCTGAGCCATGTCTGATAACGTCTCTAGCCACTGTGTTGCACCATCTCTCGAACCCCAGTCAGGAGCCAGGGAGTCGTGAAGGACCAACAAAAGCCAGTCCTTTGCAGCTTTCTTTCATACCTGACACCATGTCATACACTGACCACCTCTCCCCTTTTTCCAACCAGTCCCAGCGTCAGCAAATAATGCACGACGTGGAATTCTCTGGGATGACACTCGTAGAACATGTCCAAGCCACCGAAGTCGGTGTTTCAAGATGGTGACACCAATTGGATCGTCGTCTCTGTGCCCGAACACACGATGCCGAACCTCCGCATTACTAACATAGTGTTGCCACTGGATGTCAGCAATCCTTCGGAGACAGCGATGATCGAACACAGAGAGTCGTCTAACGTCCTCAACTCGGAGAGGCCAGGTTTCACAAGCATAGAGAAAAACTGCTCTCACCGACGCGTTGTAGATCCGACCTTTTACGGCCAGACTGACATCACGAAGGCGCCAAAGATGGCCCAGATTGCCATAAACCGCTCTGGCCTCCACTATACGTGGATTGATCTCATCACCCACACCACCACCACCACCAGAACTTACTCAGCCACCCAGGTACACGGACTTCCTAACCACTTCTATCTGCTCACCACCTAGGGTGAGTGCATGGTCAGGGTCCTATTAGTCTTGTAGAAGTGCTTTGCACTTCGAAGGTGCAAATTCTGATCTCTTGAATTCTCCATGTCTCTTTTTTTCTCTTTCCAAATTTATTTCACTGGATTATACTCTTTAAATAACATTTTCAAACCCTAATCTTTCCGATTACTGCTTATACTTTTACCGCCTCTATCACTACGGATTTGAATCGACAACTGCATCTCTGTGCTCATGTGGTGTGGCAACTCGAACTGATGTACGTACGTACGAAGTTCTACGTTGTTACTGACCGACTGACTGAGGTGCAAAGCACATACCGTACCTACGGACATTGATTGCCAACTGATTAAGTGGGGATTGCATGGCTTGGGCATTATCGCACAGTAAGACAATATCGTCCGCATACTCAAGGTTGAGAAGTCTTTCTCCAGGCGACAGATCCACACCACCATTACTTGCATCCATCAGAGTTGTTTCCAGAATGTCATCAATGGCAAAGTTGAAGAGGAATGCTGAGATTTGGCAACCCTGCCTAACCCCACTACTCGAATGGAACAATGGAGAGAGGTGGTTGTATGCCCTCACTCTGCCTGAGGTGTTTTTATATAGGGCTTTCAGGATGTTAATAAACTTCCTAGGCACACCCTTCTTCAACATACAATCCCAGAGAACAGTCCTGTCCAACGAATCGAAGGCAGCCCTGATGTCAAGAAACACCACGATTGTTGGCCTTTGATAAGTATGGCGGTGTTCTAACATTTGGCGGAGGGTGAAGATATGATCAATACATCCTCGACCAGAACGAAAACCAACCTGCTCCTCGTGGGTCAATCTTTGTCGGGTTTTGAACAACCTACGAAGTATGACGGAAGCCAATAGCTTGGACGCAGTTGGAAGTAAACTTATCCCCCGATAGTTTTTACAGGAACGACGTGAACCCTTTTTAAAGATAGGGACAACTATCGACTCATTCCATGACGTTGGTACAGTCTCTAGTTCCCGGACGTTTGTAAACAACACAGTTCCTTAGCCAGAAAGTCACCACCATCTTTAAAAAGAGCCGGAGGTAAGTCATCTGGACCCGGTGATTTGTAGCGCCTCATTTGGTGGATCAGTCGTCACCGGCCATTGAGGGCAGGACAGTCTGACCGATGTTGCTGGAGCAGCAGGCCAGTTGAACTGCCCTCCGAAGAATTCTGCCCATCGTCCAAGACGTCGATGGATGTTAGTGATTGGCATCCTGTCATCCTCGCACCCGACCGTTGTTGCTACCTTGATGTGGTGGTCGGGCTTGCCTATCGTGATAAAGTAACCGAGCTATACTGGCTGGAACAACTGTTCCTCAAGGTCCTACCATGTCAGACAGGTCTGTTGATGAGCGGTAAGACTAAAAGCAACAAACCCAAGGTCCGAAGGCGAAGTCATACTGCTGACTGTAGAGGGGTGTGACAACAGTAAGGTGTTTCCTTCAGACAACCAGCATCTGCAGCGATGCTGCCTTCCCACAAGGAGGGGTGGGGTTAGAAAAGGTCGACCCTAAAAATGTCACACCTCACCTTACCTCACGGATTTCCGTCTCCGGCGGTAAGGCCTTTTGAAGAACGGAGCTAACACATTAAAGACCTTCCACGAAAAGGTCGTGCGCGACCGGCCTCAAGCAGTTGTCCGCTGGGCTCTGCGGTCACGCTCCCAGGTCGTTAAGACCAACATTAATCCAACTTCCTTTTCAGGTTCTTCAAGAAATACCCTCCCACGGTGTGAGCAGCCGGGAAGTGATATCAGCCCTCATACACGTAACAGCACACGAGATCAAGTTGGTCACATTCAAATCCTTCCTACACATCTTAATACCTCTCTTATCTCCTCGACTTCCCTCCTCACGTCTCTTTATCACCCCGCACCGCTAGGGCAAACGATTCGAGTACGCGGAACGTTATTCCTGGTCTCCTGAAACCACTCTCTAAACTACACGCAGAAGCTTTCAACGTCCGAACACTGTACTAAAACGAACAACACGCTTTATTAGCTAAGACTTTAGAATCTCGCGCCATCGATGTGTTCTGCATCTCCAAAACGCGCATACAGGATCCGAGTAGTGTCATTCATTTGACCTTACCATGTCAAAGTAACGGACGAACTCGACTTACGCTTCGTGCATCTGGAATCCCTGATACTGCTTCCGTGGACATGCTGGAGTAGGTATAGCATTGAATTAGCTCTTAAACTGGATCCCAGTAGACAGTCGTTTGTGCGCTGTCCGACTAAACGGAACAGCAAAGACTCAGCAGCATCTACTGCACTGATAGATGCTCGAAAACTCATTCCATCTGGCTCTGAACATAACGAAGAGTGGAGTCAGCTTAAACGCAAGCTGACAAGAAGCCTACGCAATGATCGTGAACAGTGGTGGGTAGCGAAAGCAAGAGAGATGGAAAAGGCAGCGGCAATAGGTAATAGCAGACAATTGTTCAGACTTGTTAAGGAAACCGGTATTAGGAAACCGACTGTTAGCGAAACACTCTCAGAGAAAGATGGACATATTATACATTCTCAATCCAGGAGATTGGATCGATGGGCAGAACACTTTATGGATCAGTCCAACTGGCCTTCAGCCACACTTCGGTTTCCCACGATCTCCAGTCAACCTGAATGGCAAGTTAATTTAGGTCCTCCGACTCTTTACGAAGTTGAAAAATCCATAGGAAATCTGAAGTGAGGGAGAGCAACAGGACCTGACAGGTTTACTCCTGAGATTTTTAAGGATGGTGGTCCAGTAATAGCAGTGAGGTTAACTGAGGTCTTAGGTAGAATTTGGGAACTGGACGTAATCCCATCTGACTGGCCTCAATCACTGATTGTGCCAGTCTATAAGAAAGGACAAAAGTCCCCTTGTGATGATCACAGAGGAATCAGTTTGACAAATATAGTGTCTAAAATATTAGCTTCAATAATACTTCGACGCCTAACTAAAGCTCGTGAAGAACAGACTAGAGAAAATCAGGCTGGTTTTCGACCTGGACGTGATTGTATAGACCAGATATTCACATTACGTCAGGTTCTAGAACACAGACACACATTCAGACGCCCCACAATGGTGGTATTTCTCGACCTTCAGGAGGCATTCGACTCTGTTGATCGTGAGGTTCTATGGCAGTGTTTGTCACTGAAAGGAGTACCAAAGAAGTACATTAACCTTATACAGGCTCTCTATTCGAACACAACTGGTAGAGTGACAAAATGCAGAGTCTTCTGACCACTCTAAGCAACAATGCATGCATGTTCGGGATGCGACTCTCCCCCTCGAAATGCAAAATGTTACTTCAGGATTGGGTTGCATTGACACCCGAACTAATGATAGGGAGTGAAGTAATTGAGCGTGTAGACCGCTTCACTTATCTTGGAAGTCTCATCAGCCCTTGTGGTCTGGTGTGTGACGAAACCTCAACACGGATACAGAAGGCTCGACTAGCTTTTGCCAACTTGCGTCATTTATGGCGTAGGCGAGATATCCGTCTATCAACCTAAGGACGTGTTTACTGAGCAGCAGTTCGTTCCGTCCTACTTTATGGCAGTGAAACGTGGCCGGTAAGAGTAGAGGATATCCGTAGGTTACTAGTATTTGATCATAGGTGTCCTCGAAATATTGCTCGTATATCCTGGGACCATCGAGTAAGTAATGCAGTCGTTAGGAAACCGGTACTATGTAAGGATGGCAAATCAATTGATGACGTAGTGAAACTTCATCAGTTGAGATGGCTGGGACACGTGTTACGTATGCCCAACGACCGACTGCCTCGACGTGCGATGTTCATGGTATAGGAGTAGGTTGGAAGAAAGCTAGGGGCGGCCAGACCAAAACATGGCACAGGTGCAGGTGCATACACTATTTGTGTTCTCCCAAATTTTGATCTCCTCATTCCTCCTTGTCTCTGTTTTTTTCTCTTCTCAAATTTATTTCACTGTAAAATCAATCAGTAATCTTCCCGATAACTACTTATACTCTTATTACCTCTACCACTACGGGATTTGAATCGACCACTGCATCTCTGTGCTAATGTGGTGTGGCAACTCGAACTGATGTACGTCCGTACGAAGTTCTACGTTGTTACTGACTGTCATCCTCGCAGATTGTTTCCTTCACACCAGACTTCTTGCTGCTAGTGGCTCGGATGAGTTGGGGGAGCTTCTGGTAGTTACCAGATGCAGCTGCTGCTTCAGCTTATTAGCACGCTCCGACCACCAGGCTTCTCGGTCCTTACGCAAGCTTTGCCCGATTTCCTTACGTAACACCCTTCGTTTGTGGTCAAACTCATGGTCACCCGGACTAGACCAACGGGCTTCGATGAGTTGTAAGGAGCCTGAAGAAACCCAGTGCTTATAAGCGGGGGGTTTCGTGAAGCCTCATGCGGCTTTACTCGCCATTTTCATGGCGTCATGAAGTTGCAACCAATGCTCATCTATACTTTTCGGTGGGATGTTAGCTAGCCTAGAAGCTAGCTCGGTTCAATACTTAGTTGCTACCAACGTCTTGACATCAATCCTTTGGTGGCGGTCACTTCGTTGTCCACTGAAAAGTCAGGTAAGGTTGGCGCAGACCAGGGCATAATCAGAGTCCAGATAGATACTCCAAAAGGAGCAGCAGTCTTGTACACAGCCACGCTAGCGGTAGCTGATCGCGATGTGATCAATCTGAGTCCAGGCTTGAGATGCAGAGGGAGGACGCCAGGTGGCACATCGGCGATGACTGTGCCGAAAGTCAATGCTAGCCAAAAACAGGTTGTGGTCTGTGCACAGTTGCAGCAGACGGTCCCCGTTATCTATCCTGCGACCAACGAGTCCTCATCGGCCACCTAAACGATTCTCTTCTGTGCCTAGACGCCCGATCTGAGCATTCAAGTCTCCGGCTAGTACTACAATATTTGTCGAACTCACATTCTGGAGAAGAACAGTTCGCTGGTGGTAGAATTCATCCTTGATTGCATCCGGGCTGCAATCTGTCGGGGCATAAGCGGAGATGACGAAAAGACATCGTTTCTCACGCCGATTTCTCACTTTGATGGAACTCTAATCTAACAGCACATAACCGACTGTTGATGGGGATCCAATCGATTAGTGCTGCCTCAGCTCTAGCGCTTAGTGCGACACCAACGCCAGCAAGATCAGACGAAGATGCCACAGGGTCCCGGATAAGCGCACGTAAAACAAGCTTTTTGAAGCGACAGATGGAGATCGAATTTGTAGTATTTCACCAGAGTCTTGAATACGGGTCTCGGATAGACAACAAACTTCAATATTAAGACTTTCTAAAGACATAGCCAACCCTATCTGTTGTCCGACCCGGATAAATGTGCGAACGTTGAAGGCAGCCAGTTTGAATGGTGCACGTAGTTTCAGAAAAACTGCCTCGGTATTCGTATTTGGTGGTAGCATACAATTTTCAACCAGGCAGTGGCTCGAGAACGTTTAGATAGAACCGAGTTTCCACCACGGGCGAGCTGCTGTATAGGTCGAAAAATAAGGATACACAAAGTGGGAATAAAAGAGTGAATAAGTGACTTGGTAAATAATAATAATGTGAATTGTTTGACTGTTAGTTGAAGCGTGAATAGAATTTTCAGTAATTTTCGTCGTTTTCATTTTATTTGTGTGTGAACTGTGATACTGTCCGGGTGCCCATACCGAAGCAGGTGGTTTTCTTAGGGAGCCACACCCCGAACCTTTGACCTAAATGTCTGACCCACAAGGCAGTGGAGCATCGTGAGGAGATGCAGTCCCATGGTGGACGGTGACCAACGATTGGTTCATACACCGTTTGTTCCCTCAGGATGCTGGAGCCCATGTGCACCATTGGTTTGGGATCCAGTTAAAGCGCCGGACATTCGCTTTTCGTCCACTCATTTTCGTAAACAACAACCCCGCCACGAGAAGGCAATGAGTAGGACTTCCCTGGCAGAGGCTATATACGCGTGGCCGTGTGAGAGCGTTTCGAGAGGGAGGACAGGCCCACTCCACTTAGCCATACCAGGGCATTTGGGCTCTGGTTACTTGTTTGCATCACTCTTCAAATACATTTCGATACATTCCAAACATCGATTATGTGAATAAATGGTGAAATATAATTCCCCGTTACTCTTTAAGTTCGGCTAGTTGAATCAGAGTGATTTATTTTCCACTACATTTTCGTATTTGATTTCCAGTTCAATAGACCCTAGTACAAACTTTAATACGCTATCCGCTAACTTTTATATTGTGTAGTTCAGAACACCAATATGATTAGTTGTTGTATATGACCAACTTTTTTACATAACCAAGTTCTTCTCAGTAAAAAATAAATTGTAAACATGTCGGGTGGGCTCGTTTTTAGTTTTTATTGATTTGTTGAATTCTATTTGTTAAGAGCGTAATAATTAATGATCACACTTTTCACCTCTGTTTTAGAATACTAGTGTACTATTTCCAGTTTGCCCTCTTACACTTGCACTTGGTTTTCCTGTTTTGGTTGCTATTAATTCTCCGGTAAATCTTTATCACCAATCACCTTTTATTTTCCTGTTGACGTTTGGGATCGTTTCAGCGAAAGTTTCTCAACGTTTAGTGGTAAGTATTATCTAGCGAATAGAAACTTTATTTACTTAACAGTAAAGAAGTGATTTCCATTAACGATGAAAGTAAGGACTACAAGTCTATCTAATTCATGTAATTTGATAGTATGTATTAAAATCCTCTTATCAGTTAACCCCTTTTTTACTGGGACTACTTACGATTCTCGTAACAGTGTACTTGGAGAAACTCTTATTGTCATATATGTCCTATAATTTTTATCCCTCTTTATACGACGTGTTTCGTTTAATAATTTTCGTAAAAATATGAAAAAAGTTTTAGGGGAATACAGTGAGTACTCCATATTTTAAGGTTTCCCTCTTTTTAGTTTCAATTGGCATGAAGAATATATCACTAAAATTAGAACACGCATTTACTGTTCGGCAAAATAGATATGACAATTGAAACACTAGGAAAAGTCATATTTTAAGTTGATAGCTGACCGATGAGCGAACTTGTGTTTTATGGGTGGGAAGATGATGACAGTTACTCTCGATGTAAGTCACAGCAACACAGGCAAAATAACTCGTAAAAATTAATTAAACATCCAATATAATTTAAAAGTAGCGAAGGTTAAAGTTGCCAAAAACGTGTTGTAATCTACAAAAAACTGCAGAAGGTGGCCTGCGTTATTTGATCCGGGACTAACCATCAATCTTTAAAACTATTCCTCTTTGTGGTCACGAGGCCAACCTTAAATTCGCAATGTCTGTTGAGCCTATAGTAATACTATCAGCAGGGATGATTAAGTATGGATGACATGATTCAAGGATAAAGAATAAATTCATAGATAATTTAGAAATTCAGGATTTAAGAGGTGATACAGAGTAAATGCATCTGCGCCACTGCAACCAATTCTGAGATATGTCATTCAGCATCTCCCACCATTGGTGACGATGGCTTCAATTCAAACAATATTTCTTTTTAGGTATTCGTTATCTTGCATACAAATTTTCCCTCCTTTTTTATGTACACAACGAGTGTAAATGAATAAAGAAAGTATTTAGCGACCGTTAGTTGTTAGATCTATATGTACTAGTAACTTACTGTTTTTATATTCAATCTCATTTCATGGAATTTGTGTTTTATTCGATCTATTGACTATACCGTTATATGCAGTATCATCATCTTGAGTTTTCTATTGGAGTTATTCCACGTGACGATTTGTAGTCAATACGTACTCTAAGAAGTTCTAAAATACCATGATAATGACAGACAATTAAGTAGTTTTCATCCTGTTGCTTGAGTTTTTGTTGGCTAACGGAGGTACTTGGCTCTCTAGATAGTTGGTTTTAAAACCATTAGGCTATGGTTTTAAATTCGACACCCATCAGACAAGTAGTATTAATCGTTATTTTTCAACATTAATCATAACTTAGTGATAATGGAACGTGTACATATCCATATGTTACTAAGTATTTTAAATTTTTTTTGTATTCCAAATCTAATTTTATCACCTCACCTCTTGTTGCTATTCGTTTTTATTGTTCCAACTCGATTTTGCTGATCTAATTTAATTTTATAGATTGCTCATATGACTAAAAGTGCTATCTATTTGTTTGACGCGGTTATGTTTGGGGCAGCTTTGTTAGTCATTAATCAGTATTTTTCGTGTCCCTTGCCTGAAGTATTAGTTCTATGGATATCTTTGGTGAGTTAGTGTTGGTTTTCTTAATTACCTTTATGTGAAAAATTTCACTGATAAAGCGTATACTTTTTTCTGTATATCGTTTATTTGCTAACACTATAAGCCAATTAAACTGGGGAGTTGGGTTGTGAAAAATCACATGTATGGGTGACTATTGCGTCTCAGTGACATGTAAAACTGAAACATTGGAAACATAAAATTTCGCGTGAACTCATAATAGTAAGAGAAAGCCAAGGCACAGGTTGAATAAGCAAAAGCAAACGAGCGACTAAAAATGAGCATTAGAACCCATAAGCAGTAGTACATTGAAGACCTAGCAATGACAGCGGAAAAGGCTACAACAGAACTCAAATGGGTCAACTATATGATACAAAGAAAAAACTGACAGGGAAATATAGTAAGCCAAAGCAACCAGCCAAAAACAAAGAAAGCGAGACAATCACTGAGATTCACGAACACCGGAACAGATGGGTAGAAAATTTTTAGAACTAAATAGACCAGCCACACTGAACGCACCAGACATCGAGGCAGCACACACAGACTTTATAGCTGCTACCCTACCTACAATCGGAGAAATCAGGATGGCTGTCAGACAAATCAGGAGTGGAAAAGCAGCGGGTCCTGACAGTATACCATCTGAAACACTGATGTTAGATATAGAGATGTTGCAAACACGCCCCTCATTCTATTCAGAAAGATTTGGGAGGAAGGACAATTGCCCTGGTACGGCCGAGAGTGGGGTGAGTCCGCTCTCCCTCTCGAAATACTCTCACACGGCCGCGCGTATACAGCCTCTGCCAGGGAAGTCCTACTCATTGCCTTCTCGTGGCGGGGGTGTTGTTTACGAAAATGAGAGGACGAAAAGCGAATGTCCGGGGGATAAGTCTACTTCCGATTGCGTCCAAGCTATTGGCTTCCGTCATACTTCGTAGGTTGTTCAAAACCCGAGAAAGATTGACTCGCGAGGAGCAGGCTGGGTTTCGTTCTGGTCGAGGATGTATTGATCATATCTTCACCCTCCGCCAAATGTTAGAACACCGCCATACTTATCAAAGGCCAACAATCGTAGTGTTTCTTGACATCAGGGCTGCCTTCGATTCGTTGGACAGGACTGTTCTCTGGGATTGTCTATTGAAGAAGGGTGTGCCTGAGAAGTTTATTAACATCCTAAAAGCCCTATATAAAAACACCTCAGGCAGAGTGAGGGCATACAACCACCTCTCTCCATTGTTCCATTCGAGTAGTGGGGTTAGGCAGGGTTGCCCAATCTCACCATTCCTCTTCAACTTTGCCATCGATGACATTCTGGAAACAGCTCTGATGAATGTAAGTAATGGTGGTGTGGATCTGTTGCCTGGAGAAAGACTTCTCGACCTTGAGTATGCGGACGATATTGTCTTACTGTGCGATAATGCCCAAGGCATGCAATCCGCACTTAATCAGTTGGCAATCAGTGTCCGTAGGTATGGTATGTGCTTTGCACCTTCGAAGTGCAAAGTACTTCTACAAGACTGGCAGGATTCCAATCCTGTACTCACCCTGGATGGTGAGCAGATAGACGTAGTCGAGAAGTTCGTGTATCTGGGTAGCTGCATAAGTGCTGGTGGGGGTGTGAGTGATGAGATCAATGCACGTAAAGTGAAAGCCAGAGCGGCTTATGCCAATCTGGGCCATCTTTGGCGCCTTCGTGATGTTAGTCTGGCTGTAAAAGGTCGGATCTACAACGCGTCGGTGAGAGCAGTTTTGCTCTATGCTTGTGAAACCTGGCCTCTCCGAGTTGAGGACGTTAGACGACTCTCTGTGTTCGATCATCGCTGTCTCCGAAGGATTGCTGACATTCAGTGGCAACACCATGTCAGTAATGCAGAGGTTCGGCATCGTGTGTTCGGGCACAGAGATGATGATCCAATTGGTGTCACCATCTTGAAACACCGACTTCGGTGGCTTGGACATGTTCTACGAATGTCGTCCCAGAGAATTCCACGTCGTGCATTATTTGCCGACTCTGGGACTGGTTGGAAGAAGCGGAGAGGTGGTCAGTGCATGACATGGTGTCGTGGTATGAAAGAAAGCTGCAAAGGACTGGCTTGTGTTGGTCCTTCACGACTCCCTGGTTGGGGTTCGAGAGATGGTGCTACACAGTGGCTAGAGACGTTATCAGATATGGCTCAGAATAGAAGCCAGTGGCGATCCTGCTGTAACCTTCTTTTACTTTCTTCATAAAAAGTGGTTCTGTCTCCCTTACCTGAAAGATTTCTTCCGATTGTACCTTTGCGTTCCCTGATTACTAGCACATTACCTTACACCAATCTCTTCGTTATTGTTCTCTCTTTTTTTGTTGCGCTCCTTAGCTTTTTTTTTCTTTCTTTGTATTCCTCTCGAATTTTCATTGTTTTGTGTGGCGCATATATATTGGCGCTCTCTTGTACCAATATTCATGTGTCCAAACAAACAAACAATTGCCAACAGACTGGGAAGAAAGGTACCTCATCAAGATACTCAAGAAATGAGATCTCAGCTTGTGTGAGGACTATAGACGAATCACACTACCATCGATACCAGGAAAAGTCCTCAACAGAGTGTTGCTGAACCGGATGAAAGATCCAGTAGACTCCCTGCTTCGAGATTGATAGGTCGGATTCCGTAAGGATCAGTCGTGCACAGACTAAATCATGACACTACAGACGATCGTCAAACAATCATTTGAATGGAACTCCTCACTATGCATCACTTTCCTTGACTATGAGAAGGCGTTTGACAGCGTGGATAGGAGAACATTATGGAAACTTCTTCGACACTATGGAGTACCTGAGAAGATCGTCAACACTATCCGGAATTCATAAGACGGACTGCAATGCAAAGTCGTGCATGGAGAACAGCTGACAGATGAATTTCAAGTAAGGACCGGAATCAGACAAGCCTGATTACTCTCTCACTTTTTCTTCTTGTGGTTAACTGGATTATGAAAATTTCTACATCTGAGGGGAAGCACGGAATGCAATGGACAGCTTGGATGCGATCAGACTATTTGTACTTCACAGATGGTCCATCCCTTCTACTCCACACACGTGCAGGTAAAGACAGCCAATGTTGCAGCAGTAGGCCTCAACGTATACCAGGGAAAAATCAAGATGTCGAAATATGACACAGTCAGCACCAACCAAGTCACGTTCGATGAAGTAGCTCTGGAAGAGGTGGAACGTTTTACGTACCAAGACAACATCATCGATAAACAAGAAGGGTCTGATGCAGATGCAAAGCGAGGGTAGCATTGCTGCAGCTAAAGAACCTGTGGAACTCTGAACAACTGTCTGCAAGCCAACATCAAAGAATCCTCAATAGGAACGTCAAGACAGTTCTACTGTACGGAGATGAAACGTGGAGAACTACTAAAACCATCAAAAAAGTTAAACTATTTCTAAACAATTGTGTTCATAAGATGCTCAATGTCCATTGGTCGGATACCATCATCAAAAATCTACTATGGCAGAGAAAAAACCCAGCTATTATCTGAAGAGGAAATTAGGGAAGGATGCCGAAGGTAGATAGGACACATATTACGAAAGTGATCAAAGGCAAAAGGAAAAGAGACATACCAAAAAACACATTGCGCTAGGAATGGGAGATAGTGGTCAAAAGAATAAATAGCACTTAGAAACAACTGGAAAAGAGAGCTCAGGACAGAGTTGGTTGGAAAATCCTGGTCCTTGGCCCATGGTCAATTCGGTAAGGTAATTTAAATTGCCAAATGCTAAAAGACATTTTTATTCAGGAAGTGATTTCTTCGGCTATTGACTCACCATATGTGACATAAGCTTCTTCTTTATTAGAAATATTTGAAGTGGTCAACATTTTAGACTATTCAATTGGTCCATCCACTGAGCACAGTATAAATATGTTAACTAAGGATAGATAGCGCTACTCTAACTGTGCAAATTTACTTAATAAAGAGACTGAGATAATGTATTTAGAAAAACTCACTGCATAGCGCAGTCCAAAAACAAAGTTTTCTTTGGAGGATAGTAATGACACCTTTGCTATTCTTACACTGTCCAATCAAGGTTTTCGGAAGACGACAGTCTGTTTAGATTTCATTCTAAAAAGAGTGCGTTTTTTGTGTTATCTAAACCAGTCAGATAACGTTCTATCCAGAGACAAGTTAAGTTCCTCACAATTTATGATTACTTTCAAAAGTATATTTATCAGTCATTTAACTAAACGCAACGTAAAACCTGCCATATTTGTACAACAATTCAAGCTACCATACCCTAGTAGCATAGTGAGATAAAATTGTCAGCGAAAATCCTAAAGTGGTAGAATCGACGGTAATAGGAAGGATTAGTCATCGAAGATACGATTCCAGTAGAAAATATAAATCACTGGAATAAATAAATTTATAAGAAACCTAGGTTCTGAATGGAGACCAAAAAGTGAAGGTATCTGTGGGACTGTCAAAAAAATTTTAAGCCCCATAATTTACAGTCTAACCACTGGATACGGCAATCACGTGGACCCTAACCAGGTAGTCTACACCTACACTTACATGGCTTAGCCCAGCAGTCAATGTCTTCACGGACTGGTCACACGTCTTGGCTTGCCCACCCGTAGCTATCTTCCAACCTATACCAGCCATCGTCTACCGTCGAGGTAGTCAGTGGATTGGCATGCGCAATATATGTCCTATTCACTATGTCATTCGATATACTCTATTTACCTGTGGGACAAGAAGATGGATATTGAAGAGCGAAAATCGTTTCGAGTAATTTAAATATAATTTCATTATATTTTTTAATTAGCATGCCTTAAAAAAATAAAACCTCAGTCGAAATAAGTTACTATTTGCTTATTATTTATAAATTCTAGACATTTGGAGCTGTGAATATCATATTATATGATGCTGATGTATGCATACAGTTGGCTGACTTTCTTAATATATATGTATTCCGTATTGGTCGACCATCATCTATGCGTCACAATAATAAAAATACACCCGTAAAGTCGTCAGTTCAAGACAACACTTACAAAAATTCACTTCGTACACGAAATAGTTCTCGTAATTGATAATAGTTAAGAAATTTTTTTACCAGGTACTTTGTATTTCTCTTTTCCCCAAAATTTACCATTGGTACATATGAATGTATACAAAAACTTTCATTTAATTTTGACTCATTCGAATATATATATCTTTTTATGTGTACAGTAAGAAGTAATCGGAATCTCAGTTTTGCTTATTATTCTCAGAACATCGCGATTCACGAAATGATTGAATTGAAAATCAGTTTCGTTTTCCGCTGTACAAAAGTTTTTATTTATGCGGTTGACAAAGTCCGCGTAGTTTGTAATTTCCATGGCTCAAGATACGTATGAACTTTTACAATTGAGTGCATAATTTCCACCTATTTATCTTTCCCTTTTTCTTATCGTGTTTTTCTTTATTACTTACTTTCTTTGTGTTTTGCGCGCCATTTATACCAGTCAAATTAGTTTATTTTTATAATTATTTATTTATTTCTCTGAAAATAAAGATCCACATTTACGATTATCTGTTTCCCATTTGTCTTAAGATTATGTTGTATATGTGTGTACATCAAATCCATTATTAATTCCTGTTAAAATAAAAAAAAGATAACATATGCCTGGTTTTCTTTATACATACCAGGTTTCAATCTACATAGCTTTCTGTTTTGAGTTTTTATGTGTATTTGTAGGCATTGTTGATTATTGTACTTTTTTTCTTAGATATTTCCCATATCATGATTTACTTTTATTGTCTGTAGAGTTTTTTTTGTATTAGAGTTTTATCAAGCGGATGTGCCATGCAATTATCAGTTGATAGTAAAGCTAATTGACACATACTTTATTTTGTGTATGAGGATATCGGTGACTTATCCTTCTGCTCTTTCTTTGTAAGCAATTATTTGGTAGTTTCTGTAGTGCCAACAGTCCATTTCACCTACAATCTTTACATATTATAAGAAAAATATACGTAATAAATGCGGTAGAATTATGTTCCAGGCTTATTGGTCATATTAGTACTATTAGCATATATATGTGTATGTAAACCTGTTTATCTCTTGGCTTTTAGTGATAGGTTTTATTTACAAAACGTAAACAGATTGCTAAACAGTACAAAAAGAACACGGTTTATAGAATGAAATAAATTCATTGTATGTACGATTAGTAATTATACAAGTAATAATAAAATTATAAACATGGTACATGAACGAAGAATATTATTTTCAATGAATTCTCTTCAGGTTCTACAGTTATATATCCCGATTAAGACTCTAAAAGTGGACTAGGTTTAGGGCAAAGTACATCGTTTCAAAATTATAGCATGTGAGTTTAAAATTGATCAAAGATGGATAGTGGCTAGCAGTGAAATCCAGGACGCGCGTTTCGTCTTGCTTGGGACTCGTCAGCTGGATGTACCCGTACCTCATAGTTGATGTTCACTCTGTGACTTGAACTCAGTACCGTTCGCTTCAAACCCCATCGCGTTATCCACTTAGCTACTGAGTCCTGATGGCCACTTGCTTGTGCAATGGGGTGAAGTTTAATTCACTTTGTATTGTTTTACTTGAATCTCCCCATTGATGTTTTAGGACGGAAATTGATCAGTCTCTTATTGGCATATGTGCATACTGTGCCTATGCCTCGATATTGCCTTAATTTACAAGCATTATAAGCAAAGACGAGTTCCAAACAGGACGAAACGCGCGTCCTGGATTCCAGTGCTAACCACTATGTATCTTTGCTGATGAATTTCCGTCCTAAAACATCAATGGGAAGATTCAAGAAAAATAATACCAAGTGAATTGAGTTTAAAATTGTTTGTATTGTTAAATAAAATGAAATCATCAATGTTGGGATGACTTATATGAAGTGTTGATTTCAATAAGCTTATAAGCTATTACTACTAATATAATGCTTGTCAACGTTTTTGAGAAGTTTATTCATCATCAATCTCTTTATACTAATTTGTACTTCATTCATATCATTCTGTAAATTAATTGATTTTTAATTTGTAATTACATTATTCTCTCTTTCTCAACCCATGCTAACTATGTTTATTCTGATCATTATTTATCTCATAATTTCATTTAATGTATAAACCAAATCAAGTTAACACTTCATATGAGTCACCTAAACATTAACGATTTTATTTTATTTTACAATCCTTAATTTATATGCTGTGATATTTAAATTATGTATTCTACCATATAAACCTAACCACTTTTTGGATTATTAATTTGGGTATATAATTGTTCAACCTGAAGAGAATTTATTGAAAAGACTATTCATTGTTCACGTGTCTGTGCTTTAATATGATGGGAATTTTCCGGTAAAGAAAAATCTATTCTCTAATAACAAATATAAATAAGGGTTTAACATAATCAGTGATGTTTGGATGAATTTTCGAAAAGGAACTAAAGTTCAAGAGGAACATGATACAGGAAATATGATTAATTATATTTAACAGTGATTAATATGTATAGAGGTTAATAATAATGATATAGAGAAATAGGGATGATGTTATGCTTACTAATAATTAAATCGTAAGAAAGAGTGACGAAATTGTAATCAAATGGTTGTATGATCACTTAACTAAGAAACCAAGTCATATTTATGTGAGCAGTGATAAAATTGTTTCGTAGGTGGTATTTACTTGATTACAATTATAGTCATCATGGCAGAAGGTATATCACGCCGACTTTCCGTAAACAGGTTGGAAAGTTACTGAGATGTTATCTTCAATGAACTTCCTTTTCATCCTGCATGTATTATGTCAGATATTAGTAACTAAAAAGTCATAACTTATTGAACATAAAAATTCGTAAGTACTGCTTGGGGATACTATAGGACCAATGATACATGGATAATACATGACGTCATATTATTAAGCTACGTTCAGTTGCCTTTTCATCCTATCATATCATTGTACTAATTTCCTTCCCCACTCTACATATGTGAAATGTGGTGACTCAAATCGATACAAATTGTTGACAGATAATATGTTAATTATACCTCATTGATTGAGAAAGTATTCATTTGATTTACTCCTCAATTATGATACTTTTGTTCTTTATACTAACAACTGACTTGTTCCATTGTTTGGTCTGATGGAAACTAGCTTTATGAAAATGAATTTCATTTTGTAGAGGCATTGCAAATACACTATCTGTTGAACTGGCCACCTCCCAGTTTTCTCTACACCATAGACGAGTCGGAAAATAATTATCTATGTACATATTCCAGTGAATGCATTTCCAACACACACACACACACACGTAAGCCATTCAATCAGGTGTTTCAACGTAGGAACACTAATTGGGTTGTCGTCAATGCTCACAATTATGTACTGAAAAGCCTGCACATTACTAACCGGTATTCCTAATGCACGTCAGCAATCATACACAGACGACGATGGTTGAATATAGAATGTCATCGAGAACTCCTAACTGAGGAATGTTGGTTTTCACGATCATAAAGCGAAACTGCTCCCAGTGATGTGTTGAACAGTCAGTATACAACAGACAGACAGACTAACAGCATGACATATATTGCTAGCTGGTGTATGAGTAGACCGGAAGCAAGCTCATCATCATCATCGCTATTAGTAGTTGGTGACGTTGAGTGATATAAGTCAGGATTGGTCATGATAGCTTATATGTATTCGCTGCTTACCTTCTCCTAAATTTCTCTTTTCAGTGTTTCTATACACACCTTCTCATTGCTTCTTCTCAAACCATATTCTCAATGTCTAATATCATAATGAAATAGGTAATACTATTATCTTCCCTTCTTATTAATTGCATCTCACTGCACCAATATAGTATGTCAACGTAGATGATGCATGTTATGTCAGGTTGTAAATTGATTATGAGCGAGTTCGTGATGTGAAGTGTAAGAATAATATTTTAGTAAGTGGATCTCTTTCTAATAATTTAATTGTTGAAGCTGGATTATCTTCGTATATATACACTATTTGACTATTACGTTAGTTATTACTGATGATCTATCGATTGTATGTGTATGAAATTTTAGGACTTTCGGTTTTGATTTTAGTTAGTATCTCAAGAACACATTACTCCGGGAAATGGAAATAGACATGAGAAAAATGAACAAGAATTGGATGGAATTAGAAAAGAAGGCCCAGGACAGAGTGGGTTGGAGAATGCTGGTCGGCGGCCTATGCTCCATTAGGAGTAACAGGCGTAAGTAAGTATCTCGAGAGGTTTGATGATTTTCTGAGAATGAGTTGAAGGTGAGACAAAAATCCAAATGTTGTTTCTTTGATAAAGATTATTGATAAAATGTAGTACATGAATACTCGTAGTCTCACAAATCTTGTTTTTAATATATATTGAAATCACAGAATAGTGTAATTTCATTTATGCTAATAAGGGGACTATAATGTAAATAGCGTTGTCACAATTGATTGATCACTGGGTGGTGATCAATGTTGTGTGTGTCAAGTCCTTATTTAGTGCAGATCGAATACTATCGACCATGTTGCAATGTGGCCACCAGTCTAGGTGACTCGACACTGCGTGCACTATGTACTGAGATTGGATGGTGGTTGGAGGTAGTCGACAGGAAACCCTGGACTGCACTAAGTAAGGACTTGACACACATGACACTGATCACCACCTAGTGATCAATCAATTGTGATTACATCTCAGTCCTACAGGAGGTCGGACGAGGCCCGGATAGCTCAGTGCTAACGTCTCTGACTGTGAAGCTAGGTGACGCGGGATCGAATACGCCAGGGAGCACCGGTTCCCTCAAGATTACAGGCACACCTTGTTGACGAGTGCCAAGTAGCACGAAACCCGGGTCCAGGGTTTCCTGTCGACTACCTCCAACCACCATCTAAATAGCGTTGTTCCTAGCCTGTGACTGGAGACCAAATTGTTACTGAGCTTGAAATTAAACCAAAATTGTTAAACGAACTATACAAGTTGTAAATTATGTAAAAGAGACAAATTCAAAAATTGGTGTCAAAATAAATCTATTTAAAGCAAAAAAAGCTTAACAAAGTGAAAGGTATAAGTGGCTTATCTTTCTGCAGTTCCAAATCTTAATAGAAGAACCTTTATATGCTTCTTTTGTATAAATATTTTCCCCGTACGAATAAATAATGGGCATGCAATAATCGAAAAAGACATGTTATAATATTAATATTATTATATATCTACTAGTCCCTCTTTCAAACCACGAAGAATCGTTTATCCGAAACCTTTAGAATTTCAGCGAATTAATTGCTGCCGAATTCCACCTTCATATGTAGTATTTCTTTAGTGTAGAGATTACACATTTTGTGCTAGATTTACAGCCTACATTCTTGTCTCTAGTATTTTATTTTTTGTTTCTCTCAATACACCAGTTTCTTCCCTATATTGCCAGTTCTTTGCATTCAGGCGAATAGAAATGTGTTTAGACTTATATTCCGATTATTAGAAATCCTACTTCAGAAGTTTTCCAACTGGATGTCGGATGGAGGCCTTCTGTAAATAGAATTAATTAGTGTTATTTTGTGTATGTTTAAGAATACCTTATCAAGATGATAAATGTTTAGTTCGTTTTCTATCCCAATAGTGAATTTGATTGGATATTAACAGATATTAAATATTAATAAACTGTTTCCAATCACAAATACTGTAAGTATTACATCCAAACCTTTTATAATCATAGAGATGAATTTATTATATTTTAAAGAAATTATGAAATGATTTTATAGATGTTTCAAACATATTCATTTCAGAGCATATCTAAACAATTACACACCTAATTACTTTAGTATTATGTATTTTCTTTATTTTGTTTTCTAATTAACCGTACATCTTTATTCATTTTGTCAATTTTATAAAATACTACATCTTAACAACCGATACACTAATCTAATTGCTAACATTGATTAAAATTAATTATAGTTAATTCCAGAAAACTAATTTGTTATATCATATGATCAGTTAGGAATCTAATCAGTTGTTTCTCA